ATAATTTTAAATAATGTCTGTAGTGATTAATAAGTATGCTGTGTTGTTAGCAACCCAATGTAATTGGGCAGCACCATTTTATTTTATTTTATGATAATAAAGTGATTCTCTCTCTCTGGAAAAAATTTGATAGCATTGGTAAATTACTGCAAGTCTGCTTTCTCCTATCGAATAATGCTCACCAGAGAATTTAACAATTAGTAAATTGGAGAATTTTGGTACCACTGTTTTTGTAATTAAAATATTTGTATAAATTTTACATTGTAATATAATTGTTCTTATTTTCCTATTAATTATTTGTATATAAATAGACTGAAATATAATTTTTTTATGAAACACAGACTCCTCTGACGGTCAACGGACCATGTAGCACGTCTGATTTTCGGTTTTAAATCCAAAAATTTTGTTTTTGTAATTTTGATAAATAAAAAGACTTTTTCTTCTTCTATATTGATGGACAGATTTCGTGACTTGTCATTACCTAATATTTTATTTATCCATCAAATACTTAGTTTACGCTAAGACAAGGATAGTATCCAAAAGTGTCCTTTGGTATCAAACGATTATTGAGGAGTAAGCGTTTATTTTGTTTTAGGTTTTAGAACATTCAATTCTACTAATTAAAGTACTGCATAGAAAGCATGGTGACTGACAATATAGTTATTATTGGGGCAGTTTCCCATCCAAGTACATAAAGCAATTGACGTTGGTTAACTTTTATTACTTGTTGCAAACGCTTTAGTCCGTTCGGCTTATAATATGAGTAAAACGGATAAATCAAAACTAATTGTTTAATACAATTAATTTTTTAATTGAACTAAAAATAATAAAAGCGCCGGATATGTAGTTATCTTTTTCAAGATAAAATCTTCTTTCACCTTCCGTTAGTGCTCATATCCGTTAGTGCCTAAAAACTTCGGTCTGAAGTAAAAAAACTTAAGTATCGTTTTTTTACAACTATAGATTTTAGATTCTCCTCACGAATTTAATAAAGTTATTAAATCTAATAGTTGAGTAGAAATGTAGATTCACAAGATGTGAATTTGAGGGGCGGGGTGACCGAGTGGGCTAACGTGTGTGCAACACCACAGCGTGTTGCCCGACTACCTAATAACCGAAGTTGGAGACAATAAAATTTCGAGTTCGCGTCACAGTGCCCAAGGGGTCTTTTAACTCTGGCATTGATCCCCCGCCCTCACCTCCTGGCCAGGGAAAACCCGCGTGCAGCCTGAAAGGCGTGGTAGGGAAGAACAAACGCTTTCAGTTTTTGAGGTTATACTAATCTGATTAAATCAATGTAAACTAGGGAGTTTCCAAAACAGCTGGAAATCGTTAAAAATGTTTTTGTAATGTATATTGCACCTATTTTATTTGAAAAATGAGGCTGAACATTGAGAAGACCAATGACATTCTCATTGGGTCTAAGCACATTCTCCATTCCCTTCCTTATTATTCCCTACTCTACCTCAATTGCCAAACTATTCGCTTCCACACTTCCGTTAGAAACCTTGGGATAATATTCGATCAGCACCTGTCCTAGAATCACCACGTTTCCCAAATTATCAGAAATTCTATCGCTACCCTTAAACAGTTTCTGAGATTCCGTGATTCTATACCTTTCAAAAATTCGACAGCTTCTAGCTTCCTCTCTTATTTTTCCCAACTTCGATTATGGCTGCCTTGTATACGATGGACTGTCTAGTGGACTTGAAGTTAGACTGAAAAGGCTAATGAATTGATTCATATACGGAGTCTCTAGAAGCGCCCACGTCTCCAGTCGGTACATCAAGTGAAGTGAAGTGATTGAAGTGGCTATATCAAGTTTTTCGACAGCAATATTTGTTAGGTTTATTCATTTTCCGTATCTTTACAACCAGAAAACCTCCTTGACTTGTTCTTCTATCCATTCCTTCAACACAAGTTCCCAGCCTGTATATTCACAAACCTGTATATTCCCTACTCATAACAGCTTATATTGAAAAGACTTTGGGGGGGGGGATGGGCACCGAATATTTATAAAAATTAAATATGTTACCAATTTGATTCTACTGTTAATTCAAATCTATTATTTATATTACTTACCACGCAAGTATGTACAAGAGCAAGTATGTGCAACACACGATCATCAATTTACTTTTAATTTCATCATATTATATGTATATTTAGTGTAGCACTTTATTTTGATTTTAATGTTACACAACATTGTAACCTAATTATTATTTGTCAGTCATTACGTGCCAGACAAATTTATTTTATAATGTAATTGTCATTATATACATATGTTTGTTGTTCTTAGGGGACTAAACGTCCCAGAATAAAATATGCTTTCTTATTAAAAAAATCAAAAAATGAATAACAATTTGTTTAACCCTCCCCCCCCCCCCGCCATCACTAACACCTATGGTTAGAGCCTATTATAGTGAGAGGACAGTCAGATATTGATAGAATTACGAAAGCCCTCATCTTAAGGTACATTGGAAGAAACTATCAGGTGCATTAGTGAAACAAATATTTTTTTAATTCCCTTGGTTGGAAAAGTATTTGGTGGCGAAGTGTGAAAGAATTTCAGGACTAAAATATGGATTTCAGTTCCCGTGAAACATATAATGTATATTTGGTAGTGAGGTACATACCCCATTTATAAATATTGTAAAGTATTTGAAGCGTACTCCTCGAAGAAAATAAAATAAAACTTCATATCACCGGGGAAGACCATTTAAAACAACAGTTTTTGGTTCAAGAATGGGAGACCATCAACAAATGCTTAAATACAATTTTTGTCTACTTTATTCTCCCACGTCTACAGGATATTAGCTATACTGATTAACTTTCTATGAAATATTTAATTTATTTTTAGTTAATAAATTAAAGGGAAAATGGTAGTGTAAAGATTTGTGTTTTTTTTTTTTTCCAATTTCCAAGAAACTTATTAATTTTTAGAAGTTAAGTGAATTTTTGTTATACGGGTTTGTAAAACTGCATGTACAACTGCTTTTTGTTCTGATAATATAGTTAAAAGCCATATATTACGTTTCATCATGGTTCAGTATTTTAAAAAATATTTAAAAACGTTAGTCTGCGATCATTTATTTAGATTAATTAAACTAACGTCTGTTTCAAAAATTTAAGTAAAATACAATTTTTCAGGAACTATAAAAAAATAAATTATTTTTTTTGATCAAATGTTTTTATATTTTAACATACGAATGATTTTTATACGCCAACAATAATACATATTCAATTACCAGATCATTTTCAATGATATTTGATGTCATTTTATTGACTACTTTAGTCATTATATTAAATGTCCGTTTTTTTTTTTCATCCTTAGGAATAGTCAATATAAGGTATTATCAAGTAAAAATTAATGGAATGTAAACTGTTGAATATTTTTAATGAAACATATTTTTTGTTAAAATTTATTATTATTCAAGTTCGAAAAGTACATTATGTTGGAACTGAAAAATGCATTAAGCCGAACGATTGTATGTCAATACCTAGTTCAAAATAACTGACTGGGAACAAATGGAAAACATCTCAATCTCATAACGCGTTACGCGCCGACACATAAAACTAATGTTTCGCATTTAACTTAAACTTTCATAAATGAAAAAAACATGAAAATAAATACTGTATTTTAATATTAATGGATTCTAAAATATTTTTGATCATCGTTTAAAATATGATTTAGGTGCGTTAAAAAATAACACACACATATATATATATATATATATATATATATATATATATATATATACATATTAAAATCAAATAATAAAAATCGTTTAAACATGCAATTTATGCTTTTTAAGAGTTACTGATGTATCAAAAAACAGGGCTGGGCAGTATTTCAAATAAAATATTCTAAAATATATTTTTTGTATTTCGCATTTCAAGAAGTGAATATAAAATACATTATTTGTTACTGTACTTTCTTTTTTTAAAATACAAAAAAAAATATTTTCATTTTCTTCCCAAGATATTAAAATCTAAATTTTTTATTTAGTACTTTAAATACACAAAATAAATTACCGAACTGAGTATATTCCTTTAAATACTGTAGCAATGACGATCGTTTGGACGAGAATACTCCCCCGTGCAAAACGAGCTCAGAATTTTTTTAAGGTTTAATGTATTAAAATTCTAAGACAATTATCTTTGGCCGTATAACTGATTTGTTTTAAAATAATTATGTGGAACACTCGAGGGTCTTATCATAGGAAAGAGCAGGAGAGCATATTTCGTTAAATGAAAAAGTAAAGGTGGACCGGCGTATGTTTAGTTAGAGAAAAAAAAGTACCATTTTTTTTTTTGTAATAATATTTTAATTGAAGTGCTTTTAAATAAAGGACAACGAAGGATTCAATTAATGTAATAGTTTAGAGAATATTGAAAATGAAATATTTTGATAAGTTGCTTTTATTATAAATTGTCCAGAAATAATATTCATTGAATTAAATAATTTAGTCCCAATTATTAATTTTTTTTAAATGTATATCCACTGTCCTCTAATATCATAACTCCGTTCCTCGCAAAAATGAACATGTTTTCTAAGAAATTATTTGTATAGCGCTGTTTCATTTTTTTTTTTTTTTGTAGTTAAAAAACAAGATACTTTTGGTATTTTGTCTTTGAAATATTTTTTCTGAAAACAATTGAAATATTTTGTAGTTAAATTACACTGTATTTTAAAAAACACAAAACACTCAGTACTTTAAAATAATAATTAAAATACTTTCTGCCCAGGTCTGATGAGAAGTAACGTCTTCCCGTAAATGGAAATAACTTCATTTAAAATAAACATAAACAGTGAAATGAATCATATTGCACTAGTAGAATATTGTCTCATTGAGGACTATTGGAATGTTGGGTACATTTAAGGAACTTACATGAGATATAAAGCCAAGTAACCAACGTTACATCAAAGTATCAAGTATGGTATCTATTAAAGACAGTTACTCAGCCTAAAGTAAAATAAAGACAGAGTATTTTTGATATACCTATACATCCAGTGGGTGGCAGAGAATGCTGCCCTTGTGGTTTTTGAGGAGTCCAGAAGAAGACGTAGTATAAGGACAAAATTATAGCCGCAAGTGAGACGGAAAATACATACACGATGACGGTGAGGACGCGAACAAGTTTTTTATTTTGTTTTGGTTCGTACATCTTATCTTTTGCCTCTTCTCCAGCTAATTTGACACTGTTGTGCGTTAAACTTGCCCCTTGACCAATCATCGCTTTGCCTTTTTACCTACGCCGAGATTACATTTCGTGCTCGACTAAACGACCACTTCACTCGGCAAAAGCAACTCGACTAATCGATAGAGGATCCTACAGCTGCGCTCTGTCGCCCTCCAACATAACCGTCTAAATTTAACTGTGTTTATACACAACTCAATGCGAAATACCCTTTTTTTTAAACCGATTTAGATTCCTCTATATCCTTCAGCTCTTCTTTATTCCATATTAAATAAATCCACACATGCGAGGTTAATACAGCTACACAAATTCTACATAAAAATGTCATCAAAACAAGTCATTACAATCGCAACACACCTAAAAAAGAAAGGAATGCATGTAATTTTAATTTACCCTGCTTAAACGGATATTCCGTATTTCAGACCTCTTTTTATTAAATTATTTACATCCGCCAAAAAGTTCGTGAATAGCTTCATATCATCTACAACTTTTTTTATATACGAAAACTATCGGAATTGGGGCGTTTTCATCAATCTGGAGATCCGCAAACTTTGTCTTAATAGGCTACTAAAATACCGTCAACACCCATTTGCTTTACACTTGAATCGTAAGATAATTTGATGACCAAATTGAGAATAAAGGTGGCATACAAAAATATTGGACCGTTTGGCGTGACCTCCACCCCTAAAATGTCAAAATAACAAAGTTACTTATTACGGCCCAATACTTTTATACACCAGCTTTTTTTTTTTTTTTTTTTTTTTTCAATTTTGTGGTTAAATTATCTTACGATTCAAGTGGAAAGTATTTACGAGTTTTTAGTACCTAATTAATTTTTTTAAAAACATTTTATTGAGAAATATTACAATCTGTCACAGTTAAGGACACTTATAATAGAGTCCAGAGAGTAAATTCATACCGTATATACAGAAATATAGATTAAAAAAATAAGGAAAAAGAACAAAAGAGAAAAGAAAAATATATATATATATATACACATAAGTAAGTAAAAATAGAAATAAAAGTATAACAAACATCTTAGATACAAACATACCTATATACACTATTTACAAACCCTAATTAAAATAATAAGTTTAATAAGAAAGCGCTCCATTTCTGAGAATTTTCGTAGATAAAAATTTTGTAGTTTATCACAAGATGATGCTATTTACGAAGTTTTGGGCAGATGTTAATAATTTGATAAAAAATTATCCGTACCACGTACTAGGATTCTTCATATTCGAAATCTGAATAACCGGGAAGTTTTTTTTATATAATTTCTCTTTTTCCTTCAAATAGTTATATTTCTGTTCACAATAAACTTATACGAAACTACATCACATAATCAAGGCTTGAAATTCAAAATGAGATTTAAACTTTTATTTCTAAACAGTTTCAGTGTGACTAGAATCTTCATTTTCAATTTTTTTTATTGTTTTTTTTTTTATTTCGGAACTGTAAATTTCTACTTGAATCTTTTCAAGTAGAAATTTATAAGTAAAGGTTTCACAGAACATCTGTTTTTTGAAAATTTTGTTTGTTGGTTTTGCCAAAAAAATAATCTAAAAAATGACATTTGTTTTTAGATAATGAAACAAACGACACATTAGAATCAAGTGATTCATTTAAGGTACAATATAATTTTAATCTGAGCATAATTACTGTTCATCTCTCATTTAAAAAAGTTGATTTTTTTATAAACCTAGAACTTAATTTCAAAAAATGTTCCTTTAAACCTTTATATATATATTTTTTTTTACTTATTTATTGAAAAATATTACAATCCGTCTCAAGGGCATTTATAATAGTGTTCAGAGATAACATTCACACTCTATGTACAATAAATAAAATAAATTATACAGAAAAATAATATATATACAATAAATAATAATAACATAACCTAAAAATAAATAAATAGAACACATACATACCTATATACAATATTTACAATCTGGCGAGAGAACTCCAAACCAGACTTGTCCCTCCAACTGTACAGGGAAAAGCGTGACTCCAGGAGATCCCTGCACTTCTCTCTCAACTGGGACTAAACCCAGTGGAGATAAAAACCTTCATATTAAATACAATTTTTCGTTTTCACAGAAACTGAAGAAGTTCAGTAAAAGTATCAAACCCTGCAGATAATATTAAAAGAAATTCTACAGATGGGTAATCAGTCTACTAATCAATTACTTGTAATATATTATCCTTAGATAAAACAAGAGTGTAAGCTATTTCAGTCACAATTTTGTTTCACCCTTAAAAGAATTGAAATGATGTAATTTAAAATGTGAGTCGTTTATTCCCAAAGTGAACTCTAATCATTATTAATAATTTTTCAGGAAACGTGAAAAACTATACTTTCTATTTCAATAGTAATTTCAAAACCAATATTAAAAATATAATAAATTGAAAAATTCTTTATTTATAGCTCATATTTCCGATAATCACTTAATTTATTTCGATAGAAATTAATTAACATCGAAACTTGAATAGGGCCGTTTTTGGAAAAAATTAAAAATCAAAGCCCGTTTTTGAACAAAATTAACTAATTTTTTTTGAATTTGAATAAAACGGTTATAAGAGCTTTAATGAATTTTTTTTTTTTAGATATTTGGCAATAATTACTTCCAATTGGTAACAATTGAATATATTTCACATATTATCAATGTTACATGTTAACAAGTTGATATTTCGGGATATTTACTCCCATCTTCAGAACTACAATCCCAATAATCTTGTGGATGCAAGGCTTAAAAATAATAATAATGTGCTCCATCGTCAAATTTCTAATTCATGTTATAAAATATATCATCTAGAGTTCATGATCTAAAATATAAATAACATCTTGCTTTAGACCAATAATCGGGTGTCTGCCATAGTGAAATACAAATTTCACAGTATTTCACTATGGCAGACACCCGATTATTGGTCTAAAGCAAGATGTTATATTTTAGATCATGAACTCTAGATGATATATTTTATAACATGAATTAGAAATTTGACGATGGAGCACATTATTATTATTTTTAAGCCTTGCATCCACAAGATTATTGGGATTGTAGTTCTGAAGATGGGAGTAAATATCCCGAAACGTCAACTTGTTAACATATAACATTGATAATATGTGAAATATATTCAATTGTTACCAATTGGAAGTAATTATTGCCAAATAACTAAAAATATTAGACAACTTCCAAGAAAAAAGAAGAATTATTTTTTAAAGAATACTTGAGGAATGCTTTAAGTTTCATTACATTCCTTAAAAAAAAGTTGTTTTTTAAAAATAAATTTATTTTTAAAAGAAGTTTTTTTTTTAAATAAATTTATTTTCCCAACTACTTTTTTTAATATTAAGGTTCATTTAAAAAAAAAAATTGCACCATCGGATTCAGTGGGTGTTTTCAGGTGGAAATCTATAAGTATCTCGATCTCCGAAAAAAATCTATCACTTTGGAAATAAAAGACTGATTCACGTCAAAATATTTTTTAAAAAAAAATGAAAAGTAATACCTAAAATAAAAACGATTTTTTTTTTTTTTACAAGGAAATAAGAAATAAGAAAGTAGTGAAATTTATTTCTATTTAGAAAAGTTAACTTGAGTATTTTGAATTGTATTTTTTTTGTAAACAATTTAAGTAATAAATTAATTGTTTTAGGAGAGGACATCATTGTCTAGTACCCCAAATATCGAAGGCCAGCACAGTGTTTGCAACATACATAATACACAAACCACACTTTTAAGGGTTTAACAGTCTTTTTACTAATTATTAATTATTTATGCGGCTTTAATATTGTAGTTAAATATAATACATAATTTAAATTCTTTTAGAATGAAAAAACGACCCCTAATAGGTTAATTATTTACCATTTTAGAGAAATAATTTTCATTTTTTGTGAAGCTTAATTCTCTTTTAAAATCTGTGCTTCATTGCATTATATTTAATCCTAAAAACATAATTCTAACAAATATTCTGGGACGATTCTCTGATTTTTTTATTGAAATATCTACACCTTCTCACTCAACTAATAATCTGAATATATATGACCAACATAGGAAATGTTGGTTTTATTTATTTTTTGAGGAAGAGGAGAATATTGGAAAAAATTAAAATTATTTTACCAAGAAAGGTAAAATATTGAATTGAATCTGGACTAGTTCAGATACTATTAATCTATAGTTGCATATGTAACTTATATTCCATATGTCATATACTAATAGTTATACCTATTCCTAGCTCACTTGAATTTAATATTGTAGTTAATATTGGAACTACACCTTTTATATAAAAATATTTCTTTTAACAAGAAATTACGACATTAAAATCATAATACTTTATTATGTGTTTGGTTGTTATTAAATTTCCAAATCCATTTAATAACAACCAAAAACTTTTATACATTATTTGTAAAGATCTGTGGGTAAGGGAGTGAATGAAATTGGCCAATGGATGGACCGTATTAACAAGGGCTTTCAATGTAAAGAGAATTACAAACAACCATTTACCCAAACATTTTTCACTTCCAATTTTTTTTTAAATAAAATTTTACTAATTATTTGAATTTTATAAAAACAAAATTCCGAAAATACGCCTCACAGTTTCCTTCTTTGAAAGCCTTTGTCTATGAGATGTTGTTCTTTGCTGGATAATTACATAACCATACTTCACTGTTAACAAAAAAAAATAATAATAAATAAATAAAAAGAAAATAAGATTCAAAATGCTTAAGTTAACCTTTTTGATGGAAAATGAATTGCACTACTATTTAAGTAAAGCAAACTTGGCGGTCTCGTCAATGACGTCATCTCCTTATAAAAAATGTAATTTATTTCTTGAACTATTTTATAGTACGTAATATCTGAATTTTGTATTATTCAATATATCTCTAATTCAGTTGCTTTATCAATAAGCTAAAATTGATTATTCTCATATGCTTTATATTTTTTTTTTATTTGCAATAAGCTCCAGAGCCTAAATCCTCCAGAGGGGCTGCTCTGTCCTAAAGCGAAAAAAATACTCACAGTACTCTTCTTTTCAAGGCATCATCTCTCAAGTTGTGTTTTATGCAAGGTAACATCAAATTTATAGGACATGGGTTGGAAAGTACATAA